CCATGTTTTTCTGTTTCCAAGCTGTTCCATCATTGCTGCTTACATGCAAGGTGGTATTATGAATTAGCAGCTATTAGCTCGGGATCTTTATCAGTTCAGGGGGATCTCTAATACGCTTTCGCTAGGAAGTTATCGTATGCGTCGTTTTTGCCTACTTCGTTTGTTGTTGTTGTTGTTTGAGGCTACTGGGAATCATTCTGGAGATCACAATCTCTTCTATGTATTTCCTCTTAGACACGGTTCGTTAGATTCTATTAGGCTTATGCGTTGTTATCTAGGCATAAATTGACGGAGGTGTGTTTCGATCTCGTGCCTTGATTTGATATTTCCGAGTTTATTTTGGTTAAATTATTAATTCATGTTCTTTGTAATGATTACACTTGAACGAACGAAGTGTGCATTAGTGAAACAGCATTACCAATAATATGCCTGGGGTCGGGTGCAGCGAGCTCCGGCCGAAAAGGGTTTCCAATCTTGGTGATTTCCGACTCTAATCGAGTTGAGCCATTCGTCCGCGACGGGAAAGACGCGAAGGATCGATGGTCATTTTTCCTGGTTTCTGAGGCCGAAATGTGCAGTGTACGATCGATGTGATAGCATCGATCAGATCGCAAATGTCCGTTTGGGATAAAAATAATAAAGTATTGAACTTGCCAAAAAAATTTCAAAATCTTGTCAATTGGATGTTGAAGAAGGGGAAGAGAGGACCGTGAAGGAGGCCGCCCCTAACAAGGGAGGTCTTTCAGGGCAAGGTGCGCTTTTTCAAAACGGTTTTGTGTATTGTAGGGACGCATGTAGGGAACGCAAAACCATGTTTCATTTTCGCTGAACGGTTTAGCAGTACCAAAAAAGAAGCATAAGGTACTGTTAAGGGTTCGATCCCCCGTGGCGACTAAATTTTGCATTTGGGTTGGCGCCTACGGTTGGTGCCAAATCGCGCTAAATATCAAAATCAGATGTCAAATTCATCGTCAGGACCATTTTGAAGCCAACAAGTGGCCGCCAACCTTGATGTCCGCTAGCGAACACTCAGGTAGAATTCCAAGCCGCACTCTAAAGAAGCGCTACGGTTGTGACCGGGTACTTCTGCTCTAACGTGTTTCCGTCGTCTTCCACTGTTTCAAAATCTATGTCGTCACAGTAGTCTTCTAATTTCAATCTGTAATCTGTCAGAAGCTTGGAGTTTGGTGTCCTCAACACTACATATCGTGGTCGGAGCATAGTCCTCTGACTGGTTAGGCTGATAAAATGTCCCATCTTTCATCGTTCGTTAGTGTATGTTGCACCTGATACAAATTTAGGGAGACACCAAAATCAAAGCACAATTGTTGTGAGCGTGTGGGCCTCAAAATTATCTTTTTTGGGAGCTGAGTACACTTACCAATGACGTGCGGTACAATATGCCTTGTTTATATAGAGTAACTCGTTTTGGCTTGTAACGATTTGCTGGGCAAAAGTCGGGCTCAATAAGGGGGTATTATGGCGATTGAAACTGAGTATAGAGATGCGAAGTGGAACGACAGTGGAGAAAAAACTGAGAAAAACCGTCGACAAGGCCGTTAACAAAACCCTCTTTCCCACTAGCAGTGTTGGGGAAGAGGCACGTACAAACAAGTTTTCTGAAGATATCAGTCGTTCTATCGGTTGATACGGCAATCAACCTAGCTGATTTCACACGTTATGCCAGCCATGCACCACATCCCAAGGTGGGCGGTCGTAGCGGGCCAGGCGGCGATAGCGCATAGTACATGCCCTGGGGCCTTATTACTGCGCCGTTTCGGGTTTTGAGTGTGGGACATATTTCTACGGGTGCGTAACCAAGTACAGGCATGACCGAAAGGGTTGGTTCCGGTCAACTCAAGCGGGCACTCCAGTCTGAATAAGCGCTAAAACTGTGGTAGTGCCTTTGACTGCGGAAGTGTACCAATAGTGGTCAAAGGGTTCAGCTGGGTCAACCATCCCCAGCTTCCCAAATCAACGAGTTTGAAGAAAGTTATGATCGTTGAAAGGTTGAAAAGTCGCGGTTTCAGAAAAATAGTTCGCAAACCCCCAAAAAAGTAACAACGGGACTAATTTTTGAACTGCTGACTTTTCAGGAACGCTTGGGTGCTTTTAGAAAGCTTGAATCCTGTAGTTTGTCATACCGTGTTCAGCTTCCCAAATGAATGACTTTGAACAAAGTTATGATCGTTTAAAGGTTGAAAAGTCGCATTTGCACAGAAAAAAGTTCCAACGTGCTAAATTTTTACTAAATTAGCTTTCGAAGAGCCATGATTGGAGAGAGAATAATTTGAATTTTCAAATCAAATCACTTCGGCGCAAAGCTCGAATATGAAGGAAGTTATAGCCCTAGAAAGAGGAAGGTAAAAATTGTAGTGCAATTTTATTTCTTGCTTAATAACTTATTCATTTCAAATTGTTTGAGAACAAATGAGCTTTACTTAGAAAGGCTGAGCCTCGGTGATCCAAAATCCACCTCCATCTTCCGAAGTACCTGAAATTTAACGAAGAAAAATTCGTCTACATTTCAATATCCCCGTTCGTCACCTGTTCCCGATCAGCAAACGCGTTCCATCGTCAGGGCGCGATTCAGCACTGACGATGGAATGCGTTTGCTGATCGAAAAAAAATTGTTGAGAATGGGCGGTTTTTGCAGTACTACCACTGACAGTTCTTCAATTTTGGATTTCACCTTATTTTCGATACCATCTTTATCAGCACCCTTCAGTATGCAGGTGATCTTCTGTGAGTCCGAAACGTCATTCCAAAGCTGAAAAACCGCTCATTCTCAACAATTTTTTCGACCATTTTTTGGCTATCGCTAGATATCCTACAGCATGCAAAAACCGCTTTGGAGAAGCGCGACTTGTCCTGGAAGATTTCCCTTGTGAGCGCCCTCGAAAGCATTGCTTGCGGTAGCCGGTCGAACGCCTTCTCCAGGTCGAGGAAGGCTAGGTAGCAGGGTCGGCGCTTTTCTCGATACTTCTCCATCACTTGCCTTGCGATGAAGATGGCATCCGTTGTAGACCTTTCGGGCATGAACCGAACTGTTCCTGGGAGATCGGGACCAGCTCCCGCAGTTTCGAGTCGACCAGTCGCTCGTACAGCTTCATGGTATGCGCAGTCAACTTGATCCCGCGGTAGTTGGAGCAGTCCATCGCGTCACCCTTCTGCTTGAAGATGGGGACGATAGTGCTTGTTCTCCAGGCATCTGGCATCCTTCCTTCCGCAATGTTGTTGAGGAATCGGGTGAGCCATCTTATCCCGTACTCTCCGAGCGCCTCCCATGCCCCGACAGGCCTTCACCTTTCCTTCTTGTCGAAGGACACTATCCTCCTTCCAGAGTAAGACGGGATCAGCCGTCGTCTCTGCTTGTGGGCTATCTCCGTAAGAGAACGCCTCCCTCGAGGGTCCCTTCTGGTACTACCTCTCCTTGACTACAGCCAGTTTCCTCTAATTGGCGCCGTCGCTTCTCACACTCTTCACCACCCTGATGTCTTGAGTAGCCGATGCCGGGCTTTAGCCAGCCTGAAGACGAACTTCTCTGCGTTTCTGCTCTCCAACTTCTCGTACAAGGCGTCCATTTCCGTGTTCTTCGCCTTGGCGACAGCAGCCTTAGCGAGCCTCTTGCAACTCTTGTAGGCAGTAAGGTCCTCAGTGCTCCGCATCTTCTGCCAGCATTCTTTCGTTTCACGATTCGCTAAACTTTTTCGTTCTAGAAACCAGGCACTTTGCTCCAAGCCCACTGTGCAGACCCGCTACGACCTTGAGACCAGCTTCCATTATTCTTCATTTGTCACCCTTCTCCTCTTGGCTCTTATCTGCCTTCTTTGGGCAATGTGCCTGTGACAATATCTGTCAGGAGGGGCCTGTTTTGAGAAGCCAGTTGTTCGCCAAGGGTATGCTTGATGTCCTTTACTGTTTGAGGGATGATCTTCTTACGAGCACATGGTCGATTTCCGTTTGTCGTCCTCCACTGCTGTAGGTTACCTTCTGAGTCTCCCTTTCGCGAAGAATGTGCTGCAGACCGTCAGATCGGAAGTTGTAGCCAGGTGCAGAAGCTCCTCTCCATCACACCTATAGCTTACCTTCATATTTTCTATACTGTCTCTCACTACCGAGGTGGCATTCATACCACCTGCTATGGTGAGGGAATCACTTCCGGAAGGCATCGCAAGCAGATGAAACTCGTCGTCAAACCTTCAGGGTAACCGACTTGTAACTAACTGGCTTGACATCCCAGCTTTAATATGATGCGACATTTATGAAACTTTTGAGCGTATTCTTCGTGACGGTAGTCCTCCTAAGAGCGTTTGTCAACCTGGGCCTGACGCCAGGGTCAACCGTCACGTTGGAAAGATTTCAAAACTTTACGACCCATCCCCTCCTGAAGGTCTCCAAACGCCTCCCCCCCCCCCCAGACATCTTATGGACCGTACACTGTCAAGGGAAAGCCCAGCATTACGGAAAACAAGTGCAATCTATAAGAAACACAAAGGACATATACTGCGGCACATAATCATACCTTCAAAAGAGGAGTTTCGGAACCTCGTCCTTAGTAGACCGCGAAGATCCTTTGATAACACTTTAACAAGGTAGAGTACTAGGTTATTAACGCTCTCACCTGTGTCATTAACATAAACAAATTGTTCTCAGGCTGAGCTTGTAACCATGGAACGGTTCAAAAACGAAAAAAGTTCAGAAAAACACTCTGCTGCCAAAATTCGGAAACGGGGATTGCTTCTGGGGAACCGTTGCTAATGCTAGAAAGAATTTTTGAATGACTGCTTATTCTGGAAATGGCTTTAGCGTGAGCTTATAATTATGAGCGCACTGTAGTTATTATACTTTCCCGATATGACCACATTCACGTGTATATACAACAGATGTAAAAGAAGCCATGATTTTCAATTAATACTTGTAAATACTCCTCGTCGAGAGCAAAGAAAAACAACATTTATTCAATAAATTATCTGAATAGCGGAACCTAGACGTGCACTTCACTTCATCAAGCTGGCCAGTTTGCTGTCAATGGCACTGAGGAAGTCCTCCGTTACGAGGAACATGCCTTTCTCAGCGCCTTTCTTCGAGCCATGGACACAGATAGACAAGTCCTTGGTCATCTTTCCTTCTTCAATAGTTTCGATGCAAGCTTTCTCCAGGGTGTGTGCAAATCTGAAAGTGAGGAGATGATGTCGTCCGCAAACAACTATGATGCTAATGGGAGGAACGTGGGGTCAGAAAGTTATTGTGAATGCACTGCGGAACTAGGAACGCGACAGCGTGACGATAAATCTCGTGGCGGTCACTATGCACTTGTCGCACCCAGGGTCAAGCGAGGCGTCGAGGAAAATTCGGAAATACGACCCCCCTCCCTCTGCCGAAGGCCGAAGTCCATGAAACAACCCTCTTCAAAAGCCGAACTATGAAAAGGTTGTTTAATTCTCCCAAAACTGCTTCATAAAAAAGCCCTGCTACCCCACCGTCCACAAAAAAATTCGTTTAAGAAGTACAAAAGTGAAAAAGTCAAAGAATGATCATTATTGATGAGTCCTACCAAACGAGCAAAC